CGGGTGGAAGAGCTCCCTGACCCCCAGGGAAGCCAAACTCCAGGCTGCTCTGCAGGGAACAGGAAGCAGGTGCCGATGCCCCACGTCTCCTGCAACAGGGGTCTTGGGGAGGGTGGTGCCAGGAGCCAGGCAGAACAGAATCGCAAGGAAGAGTTGGTCTCTTTCACCAGATTCTCAGAGAGGTCGGGGGCCCTAAAAGGGGCAGAGCCATTGTCAGAGGGGACAGTGGGAAAGCCATAGCTGAGGACAAGAACCTGGGTGAATGTCCCAACATGGGCTGGCCATTAATGAGTAAATTGGGGTCCTGCCCAGGACTCAGCTGTGGGGAATGTCTTGTGTGAGAGCACGATGGGGGCCGGTGCTCTCTGACCACGTAAAACAACCACATTGTCTCCTGCTGACAGGCAGTTGGGACAACAAAGCAAGGATTCTTCTGGTCAAATAACTGGTTTGGGTCAATAATATGACACTAATTAGTACATTTACTAGTGGCTTGTCCCCTTTGAGGACTCAAGGTGGGGATCACGACAGATGTGGGTTTCTGGGATGCTGTGGAAACTTACTAAGAGGACAAAGGGTGCTGGTTTCTTCCCGGGGTGGGGAGATTTCCCTCACTCGATGGTTCACTTGAGCCCCTCAGCATCCCCTTTTCTTCCCCTGCGCCTGCCCTACTCTCAGCAATAGTGACAACCACAACCATTTCATTTACAGGGGAAGGACTGCAGACCAGGCCCCTGGGTCGAACGTATTCCCGTTATTTTCTAAGCTAATCCCAACAATACTCTTCGAATGTAGGCATTATTATGACTTTGTAGACAAGGCATTATTATGAAGTGCAGGGAGATGAACTGCCTTTTCCACAGCTAGTACACAGATGAGCCCAGATTCACGTGGTCCCTGTAACTCCAGGGGCTGTGTACCCTCCTGCCGCCTTCCTTCACCTTCTGCTTTAGTCCTACATCACAGATGAGAGTTAAGAGCGCTTCCCTGGGGGCGCCTAACTGCCTCAGGTGGTAGAGCATGCTACTCTGAATCTCAGGATTGTGAGTTCAAGCGCCATGTTGGGTGTAGAAATTGCTTCAAAATAAAATCTTAAAAAGAAAAAAAAAAGAGTGCCTCCCTGTTCAGGTCTGTCCTAGAGAAAATGGCAACGAGAACAGGACAGCTTTGTCAGTGTTTCTGTATGTTGGGTGTTGTGTAGTGTTGAGGTGATGTATGTGTGTTGAGGTATTACCTACTGTTGCGGGTATTGTGTGTGTCGTGTATTGTATAGTATTGGGAGTGTGCTGGGATGTTATGTGTATTGATATATTATGTAGTATTGAGGGTGTTGCCAGTGTGTGGTGTGGTGTCGTATAGTATTGGGGGTGTTGTGGTGTTCTGTGTGCTGGGGATGGTGTGTGTCTGTTGAGGAGTTGTATAGTGTTGTGAGTGTGTGTGCTGGGGGTTGTATGTGACAAGAGGAGAGCAAGACTCTGTGTCATGCTTGGCTGGTCACTCCTTGGCTGGGGACTTCACTCCTCCTGCCAGAGTCCCAACTGTTGCTGCTCCCTGCTGCCACGTCCCCCCCAGGCTGAAGGAGATGAAGCAGCTGACCTTCCATTGCTTTCCTCTCTGACCTTGATGTGGCGCTAGGACTGGCTGCCAGCTCAGTGCCAGGAAGCAAGAGGACAGGCTCGCAGTGACAACTTGGGGTCCGAGCATCTCGGCGTGGGCTGATGGATTTATAAAGACTTAGCACTTGGGGCCGTGCTCTGTGCATATAAATATCTGAAGACATGAAGGATTTGCCCAAACCTTGCTTTGTAGAGCCCACTGGAGAGACATATGCTTTTTATCTATTATCAGATATTACGGCAAAGATAATTAAAAATAGCTAATGCTTATATAATGCTTACGATGCACCAGGCAGTTTTAATTGCTCTACATATATTATCTAACTTAATCCTTGTAACAACCCAAGGGGGTAGCTCCTTTGATTATCCCCACTTTATAAACAAAGAGCCTGAGGCACAGAGACGTTAAGTAACCTACCCAAGCTAACACAGAAAGAAGTTGAGGCAGGCTCTGTAAACCAGGCACATGCTTTATAAACCTGCGTGCTTGCTCTTAACTTCTAGATTGTCTGGCCCCATTATACCAGGTGTAGCGACAGGCCACTCTGACTCTTGTCCCCAGGGCAGGCAGCTGTATCTCCCCTTCTTATAGGTCTTGGGATCCTTGAGGCTGGTGAGGCTTCATGGCTAAGGTAATAAAGGCTTCGGCTGGCTTTTATTTAGACCAGAGTTTCCCTCGCAGGGTTGAAAAATCCATTTCTCAGCCTGCTGGTCTCTGGTGTTTGCAACAAGAGCCTTTTCTATTCAAAGACTTAGGGAAGATGGTCTAGTAGAGCCCCAGATAGAAGACAAAGGAGGTAAAAGGCCACAGTCTTTCCCTGCTGGCTCGGGAATAGTCATCTTTCTCCCCAGGACTCAATTTCTTTGCATCCTGAATGTTGAAAGAAAAGACTTATGCCATTAAAAATAAAATTTTTCAAGAAAAAAAAAAAGCTATCTTTGTCTCTTTGTGCATCTCCACACCCTCTTAGATGTGTCTTCAGAAAACCTCAGTTAAATGAGTGCATTCCTAGAGTGTTAAGGGGTAAATGGAACAGTAAGTGGACCAGCTACTTGGTTATTTGACAATTCTCTGTGGGGGAATAACTTAGGACAATGCCCTGTAAGGATCTCAGAGATGCAAAAAAGGAGGCTGTCAAAAGGTAAACGGATTCTTGGTTGGGGGCAGCAAGGGAGGAATGAAGGAAATGTATCTAATGAAATTATAACAGTCTGTAAAGAGCAGGAAAAAACAAACCAACATTTTTAACCGCTGAGGAATTTACACTGAGCTCAGACAAGACAGTGGATTTATTTACAGGTGCCCTGTAGTGCATGTTGGGGTGGGGTGGTGGAGCATGCTTTTGGCTCCAAGAATTTTCCTTGAATAGAAAAGTGGATTTCTTGGCAGAAGCGGAACCGGTCTAGTTTCAATGTTCAGATTCCTTAAGGACAGAAGAAATTCCCTGGGACTCACATAAAAGTCCGTTTCTGTTGGATAGTCAAGAAGATCTGTCACTATATTTGTCTCAAGACCAGCTCCATGAGGGATACCTCCTCTTTCTGCAGTCACATGCTCCTGGGCTGTCTGCTACTTCCCTCATGGCAACAGGAGACAGACGGAGCCTGAGGGAGGCCATTAGAAATCCCAGTGGTCTGAGTCCCAGCCCTAGACCCAGTTTGAGGCCATTACTGATCTATTAAAGGCAAAGGAACTAAATTTAGAGACAGATGTAGAAGAAAATAAAAACAAATTCCCCAAATGAAACACCCAGAAGGCTTGGGCACAGAGTCAACTAGATTCATGATAGGAGTGGGGAAGGAGCATTATGCCTGTCCAGAGTGGTTTGGAAGCACCTCCCCACCCCATCTCTGGCCCCCTCCCCAAAACTTCTCAACCAAGAACTAAAGGGGGGAAGGTATCTTTAGGGTTTTTCTAGAGCAGCCCAGACACTAGCCTGCCTCTCTGTATTCTTATCATCCTGGGATTGGGCTAGAACCAGGTGAGTCTTATAGAAGGCCAAGAAAAGAAGCCTTTGAAACTTTCCTTCATAATTCCTGAACCCCACATGTCCTAGTAATGTATCCCACTTTCTAAGAGCCAGGGAGTTTTCGGATCTAGGGAGCTTTGTGTAACCTAGGCCGCCTCATGCTGCAGATGACCATCCCATTATTTAATACTCTCCAGTCTGGGATCTGATGAAGAGTCTCTCCCAGCCTTTTCCCAATGACAATCTTTCTCCTTGAGGGACAGCTTATTGCTGGGGCGAACCTGGCTGATGGTCACAGCGCATGGCGGTGGGCACGGATGTTGCTCTCTCTGTCACAGAACCACAGACTCACAGTGCTTCAGGGACTCCTAACTGGAATCTACATCTTGAGGCTCGAGACAGTGAACTTCAGAGTAAAACCAAAATGAGCTTTCTTGACCCCCTCCCAACCATCCCCACATCACCTCTCGGGCATCATCTTCCACCGCTTTCCACATCTCTCATTTTCCTCCAGCCACACTGACTGCCTAGCTGTTCCTTGAACATCCCGACAGGCTTCCAACCTCAGGGCCTTTGCACTGGCTGCTTCCCTTTGCCTGGAACTCTTTTCTGAAATACATAGCTAACTCCCTCATCTCTTTTGAGTCCATTCAAATGTCACTTCCTCAGTGAGGTTTGCCCTGACCACACTATCTAAAAATTCCAGCTCCCTCTCCCTACCTTCTGAGGGTGTAGGGATCTTTTTTGTTCATTGTTCCAAGCACTTAGAACAGTCCTGGCACATAGAAGTCCCTGAGTACATATTTTTTGAATGTACAAACTTCACTAGACATGCTTCTTGATGGGAAAAAAAAAAAAGAGGGAACTCATAATCAGTGTATGGGGACTCTTGAGATGGTCACTAGTCAGTATTATGTAGTCAATCAATGCCAGAGATAGGGTTTGAACCCAGAGCAGTTGAAATCCTGGCTGTCTGCCACCTATTAGCTCTGTGACCTTGGGTAACCTACTAAGCCTTGCCGAGTCTCCATTTTCTCACTTGTAAAATGAGCATCAGTTGCTCCTTCCACACAGTTAATTGTAAGAATTAAGGGTTATATCACCCCATAAACCAGTCCTGTAGTTCAGGTCTCAGCTCAAATGCCAACTCCTAGAAAACCTTTCCTTGCTGTTCATTCTAAAGTAGCCCCCTAGATAGTGCCTAGCATTCAGTAGGCACTCAATAAATATTTGTTTAATACATGGCTCTTCCACTGAAAATCTATGACTGAGCTATAGATAAAGTCCAAATTCTTTTCCAGGGCTCACAGGGTCCCACTGAGGCTCGCTCGCCGCCTTCTCCGCCCTTCGTCAGCCTTCCCTCAGCTGGAAAACCCTGAACCCCACCCTTCACGTCTGCACCAATCACCAGTACCCTTCATCCACATCAGGGATGAGCAAGCAAATGCCCAGGGCCCAAATCTGGCCCAGGAACTGAGGATGATTTTTACATTTTAAAATGGTAGACAAAAAGTCGAAGCAAGAAGATTATTTTTGTGACCCTGAGCATAATGTGAAATTTACATTCCAGCACACCCATAAATAAAGTTTTATTGGAACACAGCCAGGCGTATTCGTTTCCACTTTGCCTGTGGCTGCTGCTTCTCTGCTGCCCCACAGAACTGAAAGTTACGACAGATGACATAAAGCCCACAAAGCGTAAAATATTTACAGTCGGGCTGTTGTACTGTCGTGGTGCCATAGGGAACTTTACAGAAAAACGTTGCCAAACCCTGATCTAGGTATTTCCTACTTCCTCTTTAGGTCACACCTGAACCATTGCTTTCTGGGAAGGTCTTGTCAATGCACCAAGACTGGGGTAGGGAGCCCTCCTGAATGTGCTCCCAATTTTCTGTTTATTCTTCTGTCTTTCCCAGGGCGGGGACGGGTCCTTCACGTTCTTTGCTGCATCCCCAACGTCTAGAACAGTGCCTGAAGCATGACAGGTGATCCATGTATATTCGTTGTGTGCGTGAATGGCATTTAAGTCTCCTTTTTCCTAATTGAAGAGATAAGATGTTCAAATGTGCAGCCCAGAGACAAGGCTCAAGGAGATTTGTGCAGGGAGACTTTGCAGAAGTCTGGAGTCCTCGAGAGAAGCCTGGTGCTCCTTTCCTCCAGCTATGGGGTTTGGGAGCTGCAGGGACCTTTGGGGGAAGTGAGCAGTCTATGTGAATGGGAATGGGGGCCTCAGAGTTGGAAATAAACGGGGTGAAATAAAGGCCTTCCTCAGAGATAGCAGTTGTAATGCTTCAGCTGAACGTTTGCTTGATGGTGTTTGGAGGTTTTGGCAGTAGCTTGTCCTTTATTCACATTCTTAATGACTTTATGCTCAAGCACAAAGCAACAACCCCTCGGAGGCCACTGTTGCCTTCATGTCTTCAGTCTTACAGGGCATTTCACCCTGAAAATTACCTCTAAAACAACCTTCCTGTTCCCTATGAAGAGACTGCGACTATTTTCATCAATTAGCAGGGCCATTTAATATCCGTGTGAGGCGCACCCTGAGAGGTTCCCCGCGAAGTCTTAGCTACAGGCTGTGCGCTCAGGAAAGCCTGGAAAGGCCTTGTCGTTGTCCTCAATTCAAAGGCAGCAACTGAATGACAGCCAGCCAGACCACATTTTCTTTGTAAAACTTACTCGGACACCTCTAGGTTGATCCAACTAGAGAAACCTGAAACCTAAAAAAAAAAAAAAACCACTTCCATCGAATTCTCCAAACGTTTGTAATAATCGTGCGGAAGGCATGGTTCAATGGGTAGGCTAGAGTGACAGTGCAAAGATCTGCCAGCCAACGATGGACAGTCTCTTCACACTGAGAATTCATTCTTTGGGTCCAAATAAGACCTCTTTCCCAGAAGGAGCTTAGAGGACAACATTTCTCCAAGGTAGTAAGATGTGTATAGAAATATAGCAAGAAGACTGTCTACGCTGTAAAAAGAATGCTGCTCACCCTGCTACTTGGCCTCCAGGAGATTTTGGCCTTAGTTTTTCAGCTTGCCCTGGATGCTCTCGGAAGGTTGTGCTTCTGACCCACGGGCAGGGGTCCGCTGGTAAATGTTTAAGAGCTAGCTGGGGAGAAGCTGGAGCTGATTGTAGTAGTTGTCGATTCACGTGGTTTCAATACTTCCACCAGGGCTGACTTCACGGCACCAACGCTCAAAATTCCTGAAAAGGTAACGATCGACTCCCTTGAGCCAGTCTAGGCTGGGTCCAGGGCCACTTCCAGGGTACTCTGGAAGGGGTCAGGACTCTCAAGGACAGCCACCCCAGCCTTAACTCCAAAGGCCAGTTTCTTAGGGGTGAACTTCCATCACAAATGTGGGTGAGCAGGCCGGCGAAGGCTCCGGCATTGAGCTCCAAGGGCAGGATGGATCCCCGGAATTTGCAGGGGCTCCTAGGTCCTCAATGCCTTGAGGGGGGTTATGCAGGGAGGGTCCCCTCCCAGGTCTGGTGGAAAGCCCCCAGACTGGCCTGCTTTGTGCCTGATCTTTAGCTCCATGTGCATGAGAATGGGTCTGTGGCAGGTGGCCTCGGGGTGGGTATGAATAGCTGTAATTGTCCCCGTGTCAAAAGGATGAGCCAGGAAACCGGAATGGGACTGGAGGAGGGATGGGGGTGGGATGCAGCTCTCAGTGAATTAGGCCTTTTCTATTGATTCCATAAGGCTACATAATGAGCGGCTTTTGCGGCCTCCCGCCTGCCCCGTCACAGCTCTGACCTCCTGGGGGCCAAGGGCGGGCATCACCCCCTCCCCTGCTGAACGCGCTCTGCCTTTGTTTACCTATTATTGCTTTGGGGAAGGAAACCTGATTTGGAGCCGGCTATTAGGTGTCTGCTGGAAGGCCAAAGAAAAGTATTGGAGCCGTACTGCCTCTGAGACCATTGGCAAGGAGTTGTAGCTCTCTGAGCTCAGTCTCTCCATCTGTAAAATGGAAACCATAATAATCCCAGCCTCACAAGGCTGTTGCCAGGGCTGAGGGAAACCATGCCCATGGCTGCCTGGTGTAGTCCCACCAAAACCCTTGATTGAGGGCAACCATGATTATTACTTTTCTGACTTCTGGCCAAGGAGTCAGAAACAGACAATACTTAACACCATGTGACGAAGTGTGTGACCCGGGGCCAGCACCTTTTCCCTCCCTCCCTCCCTCCCTCCCTCCTTCCCTCCCTCTCCCTTCTCCCTCAGTGAAATTCAGGTAATCACGCCAGGCCCTGCCTGCCTCCCAGGGACGGGAGGATTAATGAGATAATGCGAGAAGCCGGCTGTTCTGGGGAAGAAAGGTGTTATGTACATGCGTGGAAGGTATAATTATTATCCTGTAACTACATGAATGTTTATATGGTGCCTACCCCGGCAATTCCGAGGGGCTTTGACAAGTGTTGTCTCAAGCTGGAAACTGGTCCAAGGGGTGGGGACAGCAGAAAGCTTCTCTCTGCTTCCGCCTCCTGGCACCCCGGAGCCTCAAGAGGAGCCCGCGTCCACGCCACAGGCAACAGGAGCTCCGAGGATGGATCTGGGATGGCTCCCCAGCCAGGGTCTCGGGAAGGCCCCAGGATGGCTGCTCAGAGCGTCGGAGTGGGAATGGGAGTCCAGGCATGAGCATAGCAATTTTGTGGCTGGCAAAGATCTTGGTGCAGGGCTTAGTAAATTATAGTCTTCCTCAGTTTGTCCTGCCCTGTCCCTAACGTTTCAGCCTCCTGTTCCCCTCCAACTGTCATCGCCACCAACACCATCTTCCTCATCACTTAGGAAGTCCCCAGGTTGGGCAGGGCCCAGTGAGGCGCGCTGGCTTTGTCTGCTTTAGAGTTCAGAATTAAAAACAGCCGCTCTCATGATCCTCCATAATTCTTCCCTCCCTCCAGAAATAGCATGCCAGGCTGGGTGTGTGTGTGGGGGGGGAGCGGGGGGATTGGGCAAAGAAATGGATGTGAGTCACCCCCTGGCAGCTTTGTGGGGAAGGGAAGGTGAGGGGTGAGAGAGAAAAAGGAGAAGGGGTGGGAAAATGGGGTCCCAGAACGTTCTGCATCCATTCAGAAATGCAGACGAGGATTAGGAGCGGGGACTGGGGCTCGCATCCTGGATCTGCCCCTTCTCAGCCTCTTGACCTTGGCCAGTTACTTATCCTCTGTGCGCCTCAGACTCCGCATCTGCAAAACAGGAGTGATTGTGAAGGATTGGTGTGCTGCCCAAATGAAATCGGGCTTATACGGCACTGGTGTCTGGAATGCTCTAAGTGTCCTGTTGGTGTTGGTGATGAGTTAAAGCCGCCTGGCACCTCCCCCTCCCGCAGTGTTTCCCACGTTGGTCTGTAGAGTCAGAATCCCGCTCAGAGAGACTTCTTGAGTACTTAGCCTCCCCTTCCCAGGGGAGCTGGAGGCCGGGGCATGCCCATGGCTGCCCAAGAGTAAGCTCTCAGCATCTCAGGGATGCTCCTGAGCTTCAGGCTGTCCCCCTTCTCAGTCTAACAGCTGGGGGAGTTTGTAGGGGCTCTGCATAAGCGGAGGTGACAAAACTCAGTTTCCTAGAAAAGACCCCAAACAAAGTGACTCACCAGTGGACAGTGGAAACCAGGATCCCACATCATGGTGGTCGTGATGATGATGACGATGATAATGATGAAGATGACAATAATACCAATAGTTTTATACACAGACTTTAATTTTTCCAAACTGTTTTTACATTTTCCCCATTTGTAAAATGATGGGGTTGGATTAGATGAAATTTGAGGTTCCTCTTCTTCCAACTTTCTCATTCTGCAGTTCTATCTCACAGCATGCAAGAAAAGTTTTCACCTCGGGACTAGGTGGACCCCCACTCCCATTCTCCCACCACCCCTCTGTTTACAGCGAGGGCTGGTGGCTCCCCCAGACACCTGTGGATGGATAAAGTTTCAGTATGTGCTTTGCATAAAAGTACACAGCCCTTGGGCACCTGTTCTGAGGTATATTAATAGGATAGGAAAGAAGAAATCACAAATTTGGGGGCATCTTGGAGTCATGAGGGTGGGAAAGGATATGTGTATGAAGCACTTATTTAAATGCGCAATGGGAACCTCTCAGGACACCTAACGAGAGTATTTGGATTCTGGGAAATTGTGTCATCAAGCTTTCATGATGTGATGGAAATATCCCTACCAGACAACTGAAGATCTTTTTCCTATGGTTCTGTGCTTTTTCCTATGGTTCTGAGCCTCCTGGCTGCACACTGGGAAATAGGTGTTTTGATGTGTGGCCAGTCTGCCCTGTCTCTCACATTTTGGTGGGTTTTGATCTTTCAGGAATCAATTGCTTTTGGATGATTGGACCATCATCGTCACAGTGGTTGAGAAACGGGATCCTTAACCTGGTGTGACGTCCTCCCCCTGAGGCGTAAGGACCCAAGGCCCAGGGGATACAGCCTGACCTCAGCAATCAGTGGTAGCTGTCTGTTCCCACAGCCAGTCCTGGGGCTCGACAACACACGCCACATGAACAGGCATCCTGGAGATAGTGCCCAGTGGGTCCAGAGAGATATCTCGGAGTCTGCAGATACTGTTTCCAAATGGGCTGAAGTATTGGGCTAATTGTGAATGGGAAGTGAGGTGGGAGATGGCAAAGAAGGATGGAGGAGGGGGACAGAATAAATTTTAGAGAGTATCTTCTTCTCCCTGGGAAGTGAGGAAATCCAGGGGTGTCATAGGTAGAATAATGGCCTCCCAATGAGGTTCGGGTCCTAATTCCTAGGACCCAGGAATATGTCATGTGATATGGCAAGGGGAAATTAGGGTTGCTATTCAGGTGACGTTAAGATAAAGAGATAATCCCGAATTGTCTGGGGGGAGCCCAATGTAATCACAAGGGTCCTTGTAAGTGAAAGAGGGAGGAGGCAGGAGGGTCAGAGTCAGAGTGATGCAATGTGGGAAAGGCTGGCCATTGGTGGCTTTGAAGATGGCGGAAGGGGCCATGAACCAAGGAATGCAGGCAGCTAGAAAAGTCAGGAAACCAGATCTTCCCCTTTGGTCTCCAGAAAGGAATGCAGCCCTGCCCTCACTTTGGTTTTAAGGCATGGACTTGTGTCATACTTCTGACCTACAGAACAGGAAGATAGTAAGTGTGTGTTGGTTTAAGCCACTAAACGTGTGGCAATTTGTGGTGGCAGCAAAAGGAAACTTATACAACGGGACTGGGACAGAGTCTCAGGAGTAAAAGGAGAGCAAAGTCTTGAAATTACTGTCCGTGTTGCTGTAGAACCCAGGAGGGATGCCATGCTGGTTCTTGACCTGGTTGGGTTGGGTTAAACGTCATCAAGTTCCAGGGCCTCGGGCTGATGCCTGAAAGTGGGCAAGGGGAGGGGGAAAGCCAGGGTGGCGGATGAGGCAGCCAGCTCAGAAACCACCCTATTTGTCACCACCCACATGGGCCCCGTGTCACTTCTCTTGCCTCTCTCCTTCCAGAGGCTTCCCCAGCACCCGCAGCAGCCCTGACAGAGCAGTCTCTCTCTCACATTCTACTCTGGGACCCACACCCTCTGCTCGGCACTGAGAGTGGTTTTGTCTCAGCACAGGTCCCACACGCCCCTCGTTCCAAAGTGACCGTATGCATCTGTGGTCCTGTTGACTAGAAGGAGACAGGGAGTCCTCCCCCATCAGGTGACGGCGGGCGCCTCCAAGGAGACCCCACTCCTGAGCAGGGATGTGAGGAGGGGACAGTGTGCCCCAGGGACACCTGGTAGAAAATGGCACAGGACAAAAGGAGTGGGTCCAGGCCTGGATGACAATGTTGGCTCCCTTTCTCTGCTCCTCCTGTCTTTCCCCAGACTTTTCTGTTCTTCTTTTGGGGGCTGGTCAGTCTGTGGGGCCAGCTGGAACAGTGACCAAGGTTTGGGCCACCCTCAAGAGAAGGTAGGAGGCAGTCATATTAGTTTGCTAAGGCTGTCGTAACAAAATACCACAGACTGAGGGGCTTCAACAACATACGTTTATTCTCTCACAGTTTTGGAGACCAGAAGTCCAAGATCAAGGTGTCTGCAGGTTTCTTCTGAGGCCGCTGTCTGGCTTGCAAATAGCTGTCTTCTTCTGTTCTCACATGGTCTTTTTTCTGTGTGAGCACATCCCTAGTGTCTCCCCCATTTCCTTAAAGACACCAGTCAGATTGGATTAGGGCCCACCCTAATGGGCTTAATTTAACTTAATTCCCTCTTTTTTTTTTTTTTTTAAGATTTTATTTTTAAGTGATCTCTCCACCCAGTGTGGGGCTCGAACTCACAACCCCAAGATCAGGAGTTGCATGCTCCATCCACTGAGCGAGCCAGGTGCCCCAACTTAATTCCCTCTTTATTTATTTGTTTTTAGATTTTATTTATTTGAGAGAGAGGGAGAAGGAGAGAGAGAGAGAGAGCATGACCCGGGGGAGGGGGCGGGGGGGGGGCAGGGAAGGGGAGGGGAAGAAGGAGAAGCAGACTCCCTGCTGAGCAGGGCTTCATCCTAGGACGCTGAGATCATGACCTGAACGGAAGGCAACCGCTTAACACCTGAGCCGCCCAGGCGCCCCTTAATTCCCTCTTTAAAGCTCTATCTCCAAGTACAGTTAAATTCTGAGGTACTAGGAGTTAGGGCTTCAACATAAAAGAATGGCAGGTGTGGGGTTGGGGGGAGACACGCAGTTTAGCCCATAACAGTAGTGTAACTTGGTGACTGAAAGAAGTCATTCTAAAGTAAAATCGTGGCTCCTCTGTTTCCTACCTGTGTGATCTTGGGCAAGTTGCTTAGGCTCTCTGGGCCTCAGTTTCCTCCTAGATACAATGGAATTAATATTACCTGCCTCAGAGAACTTTTATGAGGATTGAATGAGATGGGGACATGAGTGCTTGGTGCAGCGCCTGGCGCACAATAAATGCCTGGGACCTTGACTGCTATTCCTGGATAGGAAGGAGTGGCCTGTAGGCCCAAACACCCAGCGAAGGAGGGAATCAAGCAGGCAGCAGGCAGAAACTCGCTGGACCCACTGTAGAAAAAAGCAGCAATTGAGACTGGTACAGATTCACGTCCCCCCTTCCTTCCCCCCCCGCACCGCCCCCAACTCCTCATGGTCAGGGTTGTTTGAATCATTTACAACAAGCATGCCTTACTTTTCAGTAAGAAACAGTTCTCTGGAGTAGGCCGGGAGGGTATGGATAATCCCATTTTGCAGATGTAGAAACTGGGGTTCAGTGCAGGGACAGAGCCCAAGGCCACATGGATAGTGAGCTCGCATGTGTGGGTCACCAGCAGCAGCTCCACTTCTGAATGCGTGGAAGGGATGAGGTCACGGGTAAAGTTTTGGCCCTTTGGGCAGAACACGCGTGTAAGGTGGAGAATGGGTCCACCTAAGGCTGGGCCGAGGGTCAACTTGATGTGTGGCAATGACAAGGGGACCAGGCTGATAACTTGGTGTTGGGTGGGAGGGTGGCCATGCAGGTCCCTTAGGTTTGGGATGGAGAAAGTCAGGTGAAGTGGGTGGCTCAGGGTGGCCATGGGTGGCTCTGTCGCCTGGGTGATCAGCTCCTCTCCCATTTTCGGAAGCTCCCTTCTGTTTTCATTAGGATCAAGACTCCCTCAGAAAGCCCACATCCAGAGGGAGTGCTTTCTCCTTTCCAAAGCAGCTGTGCCAGGCCCCTTGAAACGGCTGGTCCTTTGGTCTGCAAACCTTTACGGCCCTGGGCATATGTAAACGAGGTCCTGGCATTTGTCTTTGGAAATCAGAGGAGGGATGGTCAGGTATTCAGAGGCCACATCAGGCAGTGGGGAAATTCTAAAAGTAGCCAGAGGCCCTGCAAAACAAGAAGGAAAGAGGGTAATGGTAGAGCGGTCTGTTTTAATTTCATTTGAGGCTGACCTGGGGATGTGGGAAAGGCCAGTGCTTGCTGGCTTTGTGTGGGCCCAGCCTGGGTTTTGTAGCTGCAGTCGCTTGCAGTCCTGTTAAAACAAATGACCGTGATTAGGAGGGAAAAGTGGAGAGGAGCCGAGTGAGCTCCCACCCACCACCCACGGGAAACAGGAGAGAAATAGAAACAGATGCTTCGGGCTGGCACTGGCATTAATGGGCAGACTGTCGTCATGCTCGACTGGTTGGGCTAGTCAGCCAGAGGGAAAGAAGAGAGGAGGTCTCTTCTCACACTGGTTTGTGGAGCAGCCTCTGGGGCTCTGGGTTCCCTCCCGTCGGGGGGCTGGCTTTTGGGGAGGGGGTTGATGGCCTAAGAGCAGGCCAGCGGTTGCTGGGGGCTGGGAGGGAGGCTGGCCTGGAACTTTCCCCTCTGTGCTCAGCAGGAGTGCCCACGCCAAATGGTCCAAGAGAGCAGAGCTGGCCCCCCTCCTTCTTTCCTGACGACTCCGCAGTCGCCTTGCGTTTCCTGTTCCCCAGGCCTGGGTGCTGGCCTCCATCTCTGGGTCGCCCCCAAGAAGCCCCAAGCTCATGCAGCTCTCTCTCACTCATGCCAGAAGGGACTAAAGCAGAGTCAGGAGTTTCCTACAAAGGACCACAACTCAACAAAGACAAAGACCAAACTAGCCCTCCATTCAACCACACGAATCAGTGTCACGGGCAAAATATTAGATAAAAAGAAGCCAGATGCAAGAGTAGGTACCGATTCCACTTATGTGGAGTTTTAGAATAGGCAGAATTATCTAGGGTGACAGAAGTCAGAAGAGATGTTCCGGAGCTTGCTGTTAACTTGGAAGGGGCATGACAGAGCCTCCTGGAAATGTTCTAGAGTTGACGTGGGTATGGGGGGCGGGGAGGGATAACATACATGTAGCATCTGTAAAAATCCATCAAACTATCTACCTAAGAATTACCAATCCTGTCTTCTAAATCATCATGCCCTCCTCTAGCCTGGGCAGAAAATTGTGGTGCAAGGAAAGGAGCCATGGGTAACTCTTGTGAGAGGTCAGTTGTGGGTTCTTGGTTCTAAGAACAGCTACTTGTGGGGGGGACACCCGGGCAACCTCAAATCCCTGATCATTGGTAATTCATAGACTCTCTCCTCACTCACTAGGGTTTGTTTTGTTTTGTTTTGTTTTGTTTGAGAGCTGCTGAGCAGGTGCAAGCCATATTGTTGCACGGGGTATACACCTGGCTTCCCCTCCTTGCCCAGCTTTTGGTGGGGCCAACCAGAGTGAGACAGACAGGCAGCTATTGGAGTAGGGATGGTTCTAGAGCAAGTACAAGAGAGGCTCAAGTGATTGTTCCCAGGCATTCATTTCTTCTCAGTAATTGGGTGCTCTGTGATTAGTAGGGAGAGAGTGAGCTCTGTCATTACCTTTTGTTTTTCAGTAACCGACCCTCTCAAGGTTGCTGCAGAGGTATTGGGAGGGCAGCTGAGTTTCAGGTAAGTTCCTGCCAACTGTTTTCTTGGCTGATACTGTGGGGCAGAAGAAGAGCATTAACAACCTTTTCTTCAAAGCTAGAATCCAACTAACTCTGCCTCAGAAAAGTGCTGACACACAGCCCGGATGCGATCAGACACATTTCTCCCATTTTCTGCTGCTCTCGGTGAAAGCTACTGGTGTTTGATGAGCGGAAACAAGCCGCCCTGCTGAGATTTCCTGCCAGTGCCAAGTGTTTCTGCCAAGAGTGCTGAGTCTCCGCCATGTTGAAGAGGTATCTTTGTGCAGTCTGGCTCAATGAGACAGCCTCCCCACAGATTAGTAGGGCTGGTGGCATTTCCTGACCTCTGCATAGACGCTGGGGCCAGAGCAGAGGTGTGTATGTGCGCGTGCAGGCACATAATACACACACATCATGAGCCCAAGGCTCGTGTGGAGGGTGGAGAGTCTGACTATTTCAACGCTACCCTGAAGGTTTGCTTAAAATACTTTCCTTACCTGTCACATACTTTGCTTGGGAAACCTAAGGCTTGGGAAAAGAATAATTCCCCTTCTACCTTTCCTTTATTTTCTGGGTTTATTTTCTGTTATTCCTGAAGAACCACCCTCAAAACTCTTACAACCATTTCTTTAGCGGCATTTCTTCTATCAATAATTCTGTGCAGTTTTCTGTTGGAGGCAAGAGATGCTATTAGTTATCTTTACAATTCTGTGCGTAATTGAGAGGCCTCCTGCAATGGCTTCTCGGCCTTTTGGCTAAGATCAAGTGAGAGGCCTCCCTCAGTCTGTGGCAAAATGAAAACCCGAGCAAAAGAGCCCACGGATGGGGCTGGACATGCCCTCCACTCCCACAGTTGGTGACACATTAATAACTGGGATAATTGCACCCATAATGGTCCCAGCAACAGAAATTTCAGTGATAAAATGCTGTACAGTTGGGGCCTTTTCTGGGACCTCCGGGCCAGTCTGTGTAAACCTCTTCTTGCCAGCCCTGTCCCTCCCACACACAGGCCTGCCTGGGTCCAAACTGCTCTGAACCACACTGACTTTTTCTTTTTTCCCTCTGATCCACTTTTCTTGAATAGCCATAAAGGGCTGTCTATCCAAAGGGCAGTGAAAAGAAGACCTTAAACTCTTTTCCCTTCATTCTATCACTATGGTATAATTTTATAATTCCTTTACAATGCCTCAGGATGGCAGAGAGAAACAGGGAAGAGCTCTGCCCTTTGTCTTGGCATCACGGCAATTTTCCCCAGATTTCCCTGTGGAACTTGGCTTACGCCAAAGCCCAAACGAAGAGGACAAAGGCCAAGCCACACAGCAGAAGCACCACTCCCAAAACTTCCCAGAAGTTACCATGGATAGAAACTGGAATCCCCACTGGTTTTTCTTTCTAAAACACAACTTTTACTGAATACTGTGAGTTGGCCACTGTTAAGACAATGGACCTGTCCAAGCATCTTGTCTAGGAATCAAGGGGAGAAAGACACTGTGGGGCCCAAGAGCAGATGAATTGCTCCTGAGAATGGAAAACAAATGAGCCGAGGTACAAATGGATGGAAAAACAAAAGGAAGAGATTCCCTGAACAATGCTGACTACTGAAGGGAAGGGGGCCGTGGACAGAGGCCCAGGTCGTGGGACCAGCTGAGGAGTGGTGGGGTAGGGTAGCTGTCAGCACACAACGGAGGACCGTTGTCTTCTCCCCCTTGCCTTGTGATCCATGAAAACGCCGTGCTCATCTTTCTTGCCAAAACCAGTATCTGCACCGTTGCTGGAAGTTTCTGTGCCCCTAAAATAGTGATGCCAGAGTTTACCTCCTGCCCCCCTTTGCTCCCTCTCCCAGCTGGCTTGCATCCTGTGTTTACAATGGGTACAGGTATTTTTTTTCTTACACTGGGCAGCAGGGAGGCCTGTGTGAATTTCAGTGGAACATATGGACTCCACTGGAACGTGACCTCTTTGTCTCTGTGGATGGGTTTATAATGGAGTCAGCAGGAGCACAATGGTCCTGGCCTCCCCCACCCTCCAGGAGGCGTGGTGGAGGGTGTTTCTTTCTCTCTAGAATACATGATCACCTTGCCCTTGGGGCACATTCACAAAAGTCATTATGTGGGGACACTTCTGTCTGGGATGTGCAGGGAGGCGTCTCTTCTACCTGGAAGCTGCTAAGACTCGGTCATCTTGCAGGGAAGTGCAGGATCCCAGATGGGGCAAGATTTGGGGGATCCCCTCCCTACCACCACAGGATTGGCCCTGCTGCCCACCAACAGTTTCTGGAAAGTTCGCCCAGCCTGTGGTGTCTTCCTCTTGCGGTGGCCGTGGCCTTGGGATTCTCGTTCTGTAGTTTGTAGTCTTGTTCTGCAGACTCCCTTGGGAAGATTCAGGTCTGGGACAGGAGTTAGTAGAGATAAGGTCAAGGCTTCTCATTTTTGGCCAGAATCACTGGAGGTCTGAGGTGGAAGAAACTATAGACAGCTCCTGATTCCAACATCTTATTTCATATGAAAAAACAAGGCCCTGAGAGGAAGGTAAGCCATCGGGCCACGGTCATACAAGTGGTGTCAGAATCTGGATTAGGGCCCGAGTGTCCCTTCCAGGGTACCATATAAATCCTCAAGTGATGGGGCAGTTGTTGAGGAGGCTGGCATCAAGCTGCACCCTGTCTATAATGTGGATGGAGACAAATGGTTTACTCTTGCTTATGGGCATATACACTGACAAATGCCTTTTTCTAAAAAAAGATTTTATTTATTTATTTTATTTTGAGAGAGGGAGGGAGCACAAGCAGGGAGAGGGGCAGAGGAAGAAGAGGAAGCAGACTCCCCGCTGAGCAGGGAGCCCGATGTCGGACTCAATCCCAGGACCTTGGGATCAGGACTTGAGCCGAAGGCAGACGCTTAACTGACTGAACCACCCAGGTGGCCTGAGCTTCTCTTACTCTACCACAAACCTTTTCTTCTCATCTCCATATGCATTTTTTTTTTTCTTCTCATGATCATTCCCTCTCCGCAGAGGAGGCCACGGGGCCCAGAGAGGTGACTTTCCCAAGGTCCTAGCAAAAAAGCAGCGTCAAAATTCAAATCCAGCTTTGTCAGACTTTACCACCTGGGTGTTCTCTGTGACATTTCTTTGTGGTCCCTCTGCCTTGGGCTATGGAGGCATTGTGAAGCCAGGCAGGAGATCAGGA